AGATGAGCCTAACTATATTACTAAGCCATTTGTATAAAATGAAAATTCTGATAGTAAAATTATAGTTAGCAATAGCTTGTAGAGTTTCTATCAAAGGGCAATTTTTAAAAAGTAATGAGATAGATAAAGTAAAAATTAAAATATTAGTTGTTATTAGAGTTTAAAGAGAGTATCATATAGCAATAAAAAATAAGAGATTTAAGTAATTTGCATTAAGTTAAATATTTTGTTATATGAATTAATTCGTCCAAGAAACTTAGTAGCTAAATTAATTAGAATTAAGATAATACAATTATTTGCAATAAGTTAGAAGTTTAAAGAGCAGTTTGTATATAGTCTAGGAATTATTAGAGGTATAGGGTAAAGTTGAGAGAATTGAGATTCAATAGAACAGCTCCAATGTGTAATTAGAATATAGCCACTTGGTGTAGACTGTTGATGTATTTTACTTATAATAATTTAATTATTAAATATAGTTATAATTCAAGGTTTTGATTGTATAGAGAAGTGTTTAATTGTATAACTATAGTAATTAGAGCTAGAAAGTTAAATATAGTTGTAGAGTATTCTTATATATACATGACTAATTACTAAATTTTCTAAGATCACAAACCAAGTTGGTATTCTTTCTTTAGGCAATTTGCCTAATTGTGGTGAAATATGTTTCTAGTCAAGAAGATAATAATTGTTATAGATTAAAATGAAATCTGATCAAAATGAACTGAAGACCTCTTATACCCACTCTTAGAATCTATAAAACCTATATATACTTATTTATTAATAAATCTAACTCTAAACCCTACTCTTAATGCTAAAAAGAACTCCAAAAAATGTCTCTAAAAATTTTAAATTTTCTTTAAAAAACAGAAAAATTTTGTTTTAATCAGATTTCATTTTAATCTGTGACATTTATTAATAAATTTATTTTAAAATTAATTTTGTAATATTTTCTCATCTTAAAATTTTTACTCTATAAAAATCATTTGATTTTTATATCTTCTAATAATATTAAATAATCGGTAAATCTTTTTTAGACTTGTAATCAATTTGTTCAAAAAGTTATACAAAATTATTACAAAGTTATAACAATTGCAAGCTTGTATTCACTAAATAGTAATATTAAATAAATGGTGTTAAGTTAATAGAAATCAAATAAATTTTTTCTAAATAAATTTTTAAACTTTAAATAACAATAACTCAACAAAAACTTAATCAAATTTAATAAAAATTGTTTTAAATAAATTTTACAAACTTATAAAATTTGGTTAAAAAAAATTTTATCAAATTTAATCAAATTTTGATTAAGTTACTGGTATATAAAGTTTTAAAAAAATTCAATAAAAACAATTTGTTTGATTTCTATTAATTTACTCTTAAATACTTAAATTTTATATTTTTAAAGTGATTTTACCTTGAAATCCTGACACCTAAAATCTCAACGTCCAAAATCCCGACACCAAAATCCTGACAATACTAAAATCCTGATGCATAAATCCTGACATCAAAATCCCATCATTTTCAAGATCCCGACGTCACTAAATCCTGACAGTACAAAATCCCGACACTATCTATAAGATCCCGACAATGTCAAAATCCCGACAATGTCAAAATTCTGACAATGTCAAAATCCCGACAATGTCAAAATCCTGACAATGTCAAAATCCCAACAGTGCCAAAACCCTGACAATGCCAAAATTCCGGAAATATCAAAATCATGATAATGCCAAAATCTCGACAATTCAAGATCCCGACAGTGTCCAAATCCCAATATTACCAAGATCTTGACAATGCCAAAATCTCGACATTACCAAGATTCTAACAGTGCCAAGATCCCAACAGAGCCAAAAATCCCGATACTATCAAGGTTGATAAATCTGGAAATAATATTATTGCTGTTTATGATTTGGGTAGTGGTACTTTTTATATTTATTGATTTCAGTTGCTGGTTTTCCAATTTATTAATTTAATCGTTATACGACAAAAATAGTAGGAAAATAACCTTTCAATTGGACACAATTCTTACAATGGTATCTTAATTCTCTACTTTTAAGAAGTGGCAATAATCAATAAGCTATATAAAATGCAATGAGCTAACTTTTTTTACTTTATTTAGCATGACGAATCTTTTTTCATTTAAGAATTTAACGTCAATATTACCAACGTCATTTTGGATCCCAGAGGTTATTTTTATTTAAGATAGCATTTACTTCATAATTCGTATTAAATAATGTTGAGAGTTTGATATTGATTCCTATATATCGTACCTGACCTCTTAATTTCTCTTTATGCTATGTATAGCAGAAGATCAAACCAAGCATATCAGATCAGACAAACCAAAGAATAAATGGCATACCGATGAGGACAGTGAGACTTCACGTGTTGATCAAAGATGATGAACAAAGCTAATAGAAGGCATAAAAAATATAGGGCCTGTGAACCTCTTGCAAGAGGTATCGTACTGGAACGTCACTATACCATTCATGTGATCCTTAAATATCAGACAAAACATGGACAAGTGAAAATAAATAAAAGTAAAAATTGGCGTATAATTAATTGGATACCTTTTGATGGGTTAGAAAATATAGAAAAAATTGGAGGAGGAGGATTTGGCACAGTATATTCAGCAACATGGATAGATAGAAGATGACAACAAAGTTCAACAGAGCAAGAAAAAAACATTAAGATTGCACTCAAGGGATTAACTGGAACAGAGAAACAGATTATGATGATGAGGATAACTTTTGATGAGCTCTACCAACGGCCTGGAATTCCAAGAGGAGAGTGTATAGTAACATAGTTTCATTTTATTTTATTTTTAGTTATAATTTAGGACTACTAAATAAATATTTATTATAATTTTAAGGGTCTTATTGCTATAATATTCGAGAAGAACAGCCAATCTATAACATATAATAATATCTAACTCATGGTACTCAAGAATAGGTAAACTATACATTTTTGAATGTTAATAAAAAATGGCGTGTTTTACGTTGTTATATTCAGGTACATTTTTGGAATTGGGCAAAAATCAAAAATCCTGAATTACTATTTAATTATTATATGTTATATGTGTCAACACGCATTTAGTAAGCTGAACCCCCAAAACAATAAAACTAATATAATTATCACGTCAAACCTATCTCCCCACCTTAAAACCTATCTCTTTTTACTGTTAAAATTCATCTCTTATAAATATCTTAACAGTCAAATAATTTGACTCACGTTCAATATCTATTATAACTACGTCATAAATTTAGGATAGTGTAAACAGTCGCCCTAATGTTGTTTTCTAAAATATGAATAATATATATATTAATAAATGATGCGTAACAAGTATACACTTACAATAAATATCAGTAATAATAATACCCGGCTTGATATTACTTTCCTTATGACTTTAAAGGATCATTAGTAATCTTGATCTGCTTAGGTTTGCATCACTTGGCCTATTATTATTATTTTTTTTTATCTGTAATTATTTCTTATTTGTTCATACGATTTTCTAAACAATTCAGATCTATTATATGAAAAGACAATTAAAAGTATAGCAAGATTATCTAATAAATTTTTTAATTGCTATTCTTATTAGTCGGCAAAACTACTATTAGTTTGCTAGTGTTTACCTGACAAATCACCATAATTATTGTCATTCATCATAAACTCTGTAATCATATCTGCAAGAAGCAATTAAGATATGATAGCGGTGGTAAACTTAGTTTGCAGTCCATGTTTTCCATGGTTATGTTTGCCAAAGTATAGTCTTAGTTGGAGTTCTTGAACTTAAACTTAAATGTGATCGTATAACTGGTGGTGAATTTTATTCAGATATCCAATCAAATGATTCAAAAAATCTAGCATCGAATTGTCCATAAACAAATATCGCTAAATTGATTATTAAGCGATTCGTTATTAAGAAACGCATAGCACATATAAATAATATAAAAATGATGTCAGCTGTATTTTTTTTTAGGACTGTTCAAATGACCCAAATTAAATATATATTCAAGGAGCTACTCTTACTCTTATTCGCATCATAAAACACACTTTCAAATACTGTGTATTCGCATTGAAATTTCCAAACTTAGCAAATTAATAAGAATTCTGTATACACATCCAAAAAAAATTGTTGAATTATTGAATAATGCCTACTAATTTAATACAAATAATAATAAAGTTAATCAAATGTTTTATGCATAAAATAAAATGGATATAAATATTAAAACTTACCATGTAAGAAGTATAAGAAGCACAAAATGAGACAAAATTACTCAGCCTATCAGAATCTAATTTTTCTTAAAAAATCCTTCAAAAACAATTATCAACATTATATATAAGAATATAAACTTGCAGAGTGTAAATTAATGATAAAACAAAAAAAAAACATTAAAATAAATTTTTATTATACCTCCAACAAGATATATTGTTAATGTAGAACATGAATTGCACATTAATACAGCTGGTCCAATTAAATTCATCATTAAAGTAGTGTAAGTGACAACGCCGCTTATCAGCTCAAAGCCTATTCCACATACTAAGTCTGACCAACGATTTAATATGGTACCCACATGTATAAATTAAAAAATAAATATATATAAATAACGGTATGTTTATGAAAAGCGCTAAAGAAAAGCTAGACCAATTATATAATGAATTGCTAGTCACTAATATAAGGCCTTGTTCTGCACGCCTACAAGTAGGTTGTTATTAAGAAGTCTTTGTTTGAAATTTTTTTTTTTTATAATGCCCAGCCGATCACAGATTACCATTTTTATAAATTTCTGATTGTGACACAAACAATTTCTTACGGTTGGTAAAGAGTAACAAAAATAGTGCTTCAAAATAATAATAATACAATAATACTGTATCATACAGTGTTCTACTACCAGCTTGTAGATTTTTTCTTTCTGTCGGCACAATATTTTTAAGGAAAAAGTAATGGTAATCGTATCGTGTCTCGTCATATCCGCCCGTATGCCTAACTGATAATTTTGCTATAGACTATGTTGCTTAATGCTTGCCTAGCCCGAAATTTTAGGGATCTCTCTGTAAAAAATCTTTTCGTGGTCGACTCCATTGAACATATGTAGTATGCATACCTTATGAGAATTTATCATACGAATTTTTTGATATATCATGAATTTATCAAATTGATTGTCAATAACAAGATTAATACTATATTAATCTACAACACGTATCATTTTTACGTACATACGTACCAAAAAGTATTCTGCCACCATCGCTAATTTTTGTTAGTTAATTAATCATTTAATAAGTTCTGATAAAATAGTCAAATATATTAATTATTTATAAATATAATACGTACGTACGTATATAGTATATAACTTAAATAAATGAAATATATTTTTATTTAATTGACCGTTCTATTAATCTTTTACCAATTTTTCGTTATACTTTTATTCTTATACATACTTTATTTGCTATATTTTTATTACTATACCCTATTCGTTATATCTGTAATATTTAAGAATGAAGACAGCACCAAAAAAGAATGATATTTGTCAAACCGTACCATCTCAAAAAGGGAATGATAAAATTAAAGTCGATGGATATCTTCTGGTGAAAGAACAGAACTGGGATGACAAATTTTATTGGTGTTGTAACAAACGTAAAACTGAATCAAAAGGTTGCAAAGGCCATGCAGTCACAATTCTAAAAGATGGTTTTCACTATTTACAAAGTTATAAAGCGCATAATCATGCTCCCAAGCAAGTGACTTTGAAGTTGTCACGGCCGTTGCTAGCATCAAGAAACGCGCTTCAGAAAGTCAGGAAAAGCCCATACAATTAATTCAAGATAATATGACAAATTTTTCTGAAATACAGCTATATATGCCATCTCTTAATTCTATTCGTAAAATGATCTACCGTGTTAAGAAAGATAAAAATTTACTACAATTGGAATCGGCAAATGCATTAGATGTTGTTATACCACCTACATTATATAATACCCTGGCCGGAGATCTTTTTCTAATTAAAGATCGTATACATGACCAACACAGACTTCTTATTTTTTCTACTAAGGAAAATATTAAGCATCTATCAAAAGCTCTATTCTGGTTAATGAATAGGACTTTTAAAACAGTTTTATGCATTTTTTCTCAATTATATACGATCCATGCACCAGTTGGTCCAGAAGAAAATTCTCGAATCTTGCCATTGGTATATACAATAATGACAGGAAAATCTGAAGCATTGTATAGGTTAGTACGTAATAATTTAATTCGTAATTGTACTTATCGGGTAATTTTTAAGGTTAAACTGGTTAAACCTAGGGTTTATGTACAAATTTAGTGAAAGTTACAGTAAAATGGATTTAATGTAATTTGTAAGAAACGTGATTATGATTCCACATAGTTGGTTGGATCTTATATGCATCAACTTTAATCAGTAAACTTTATGCGGGTATTAGCTAAGGTTTTCATAGTACTGGTACGTACTTTATTATAACCCACGTGAAATTTATATGAAATCTATATTACTGAACTTAAGCAAAATTAAGATTGTAAAATGGACCCATGTATAAATAAGAAAAAGAATATTTCAGGTGCTTATATGCACCAAAATTAGCATTAGTAAACTCTGGGTCTATTCTAAGAGTGTTCATTTTAATCGGGTGAAAATAGAATTTTTTGTCATTATAATTAAATCATAATTATTAATTAAAAATCCAAATATAGGTTGTTTTTTAGAAGTTTGTCTGAATTTGCCAATGAAGTGAATATTCAATTAAATCCAATGTAGATAATTACAGACTTTGAAAAAGCCGTAATTAATGCATCACGTTGTAAGTTACCAAATGCAATAAATAAATTGTGTTACTTTCATTTATGCCAAAGTGGATAGCGTAAAATCCAGGAGTATGGCTTGGTTACTGCATATGGCGATGATGATGATATCAATTTTAGCTTTATGATTTGTCATTTATTTGCCTTGTCATTTTTATTTCCAAATGAGATTCTTGATAATTTTGAAAATTTGAAAACTAGTATGCCTTTAGAGGCAAGTGATTTAATCCAATGGTTTGAAAATAACTATATTGGAAGGGTAAGATCACAAGATGGAGAAATAATAGTTCGTGACATACCTTTTTATCATCCACGGCTTTGGTCTGTATATGAGTCTGTAAATTTAGGTATTCCACGAACACAGAATTCTGTGGAGGCTTGGCATAATCGTTGGAATACTTTAGTTGGAGGAAAACATGTAAGTATTTATACGTTGATAAGTGAGTTGCAAAAAGAGCAACAGCATGTTGATGTTCAGGTTGAACGTATTTTTAATAGAGAACCAAGACCTAAGCTAAGCAAAAATTATATTGAAAAAGAAAGAAGAATAATGGCAGTTTTTAATGATCGAGAAAATTGGACAATAACAGAATTTTTGTATGCAATGGCATATAATCTTTCTTCATATCTTTGTTTGTAATTTTATTTTTTTTGTAATAGTGATTTGATTTTTTTTTTATTTTGTAAGAAATTGATATTAAATCTATATACTGTATTCAGATTAATTACGAAATGACAATAATAACTCATATATTATTCTTTATAATCTAAATATATGCATATTATTTTAATTATGGGAAGGAACTAATGCTTATATTGCAAGTAGTGTCTCTTTTGTTTATTTGAATTTTTTAATAATACAGCACCTAGCTAAGTGAAAATATATATCAATTACTTAGTTACATAACGATAGAAAACATTCAATGAAACTGTGATAATCAATATATTATAAAAGATTAGTAGGATCATATGTTATTACTTGCTAGTCTGTATTTGAAATGCTTATAGTTACTAAAATATTTTCTAAAGGCATTTTATATTACTCCAGAATTAAAAACGAATGGTAATCTCGTGCCATCACAAAATACTCCAGTTGTTGGCTCAAGTATAAGTAATACAAGTGTGAAACACAAAACACATGGCAATATAAGCACACCTGCTAACATACCTTTCACCAACATAAGTGAAACTGGCAATAATAATCTAAACAATAATAGAGCACCTGAATATGGTAAAATTTTGGTAATTTTGCGGCTTAGTATTTTCCAAATTCATAGTGAAACTAATCGATTTTTAAATTATTGTAACTGCAATAATTCAGTTGATTATACTCACAAATGCATGCAAACGGTATATACAAGTCACTCTCGTTATAGTGAACTCTCGTTATAGTGAAGATTGGTCTATAGTAAAGAATTTTTTCAGAACAAAACCAAATATATTAAATATTCACTTGATATAATAAAGTTACATAGTAAACTCTCGATATAAGATATAGTGAAGATTTTTTTCAAACAAATATAACAAAATTTCACTCGATATAGTGAAGTCGATATTATGTGATTTATACCAACCAATCAGATGAAGCAATCGAACGATCATGAGCTCACGTAGTGCATACGTATCAACATGTGCTTTTTGTAAAAGTAGATTCATATAGTACATAATTGTCGAAGTTAGGCAAAATGTATAGAAAATATGTATTGAGAATTGTAGCAACTTTTTTTTTAATATTAACTACCATTAACTTTTGGAAAGTTTGAATAAATCTCACTTAATTTACAACCGATTTTTTTTTTTTTTTAATTTTTTTTTTTTTTTTATAAATATGTACGATTTTTTTTTTTTTCTCAAGTTTTTTTCTGCTGTGGGTCTCTTCATGAATTTCTTTTTTTACTTATAAGAAACTGAACAACCTAAGTAACAGCAGCTTTAACGACACACAAAGGGTAATAGTGATTCTAAGTAACAGCAGCTTTAACGACACACAAAGGGTAATAGTGATTTATAAATGCTATTTAATTTTTTTTTTATATTTCTTTAACTTTTTCTTGTTATCATAAGCTAGACAGTTAAGGTAACGGCAGCTCTAACATATACAAAAGGCCCCAGTAATTTAAGTATTATAATAGTCACCCAAATCACAGTAACGGTAATCAGCAAAGTGAAGTTAATAGAATACGCGTAATAATAGACAATGGTGTAGAGTCTTCTAAAGAACCAAACAAGTGAAAACATAATAAAGAAAATGAATCCCCCACAAAAAGAAAAAGTTTAACAGGTGCTCAAAAAGCAGAAATATGCTGCTTAAAACTAAAGGGTGTTAGTCAAGTCAAGTTAGCCGAACAATTTACTGTTGCTGAAGCAACAATTTCAAATATTATTCGAGAAAAGGATAGGTGGTTGTCACTTGAACCTGGTTCTAATAATGTTAATTTGAAATGACAAAGAACTGCAAAGTTCCCTTTGTTGGAAGAGGCACTTGCTCTCTGGGTATCAAGAGTAACCACAGCATTACAAATGGTTACTGGAGTAATAATTTAGCATAAAGCAGTTCAATTGGCAGAAGGTCTTAATGTGGTGGGTTTTAATGCCTCCGAAGGATGGTTATCAAACTTTAAAAAACGGTATCATATAAAGGAATATAAGCGTCAAGGTGAAGCCGCAAGTGCGCCTCTGGGTGATCTTTCTAGATTTCGTGATGAATTACGTGAAGTAATTAAAGATTATCGATCTGAGAATGTTTACAATGCGGATGAGACTGCATTGTACTGGCACATGGAACCAGACAAAACATTGGCCAGTAGTTCAGTTTCAGGCAAAAAAAAAGCCAAGGATCGTGTAATAGTTTTATTAACATGTAATGCAACCGGTGAACATAAACTTCCCCCTTACTTATATACAAATATCAAAATCCTCGAGCCCTTTGAAATGTTGATAAGTCAACCTTACCTGTGTATTTTTACTAGAACAGTTCCGTCTGGATGCAAACATCCATTTTTAATCGATATATCCAACATCTTGATAATCAAATGCGACTTGCCGGTCGGTCAATTCTTCTTATCTTGAATGGTGCATCAACTCATGGTCTTGAAGAAGGCTATACTTCATCAAATATAAAGTTTTATTTTCTTCCTCCAAATACGACAGCACACCTTCAACCATGTGATGCGGGAATTATTTGGAGTTTCAAAATAAGCAAAAAAAAAAAGAAAAAAAAAAAAAAAATTTTGATTATTGACATTTTATTGTTTATATAATTTAGGCACATTATAAAAAAATTTTTTGTCAAGATCTATAGAATCGTTTGATTTTTTTTTAGAATCTGGTGAACCCCCTGAACCGCTAAATATCAGAGATGCAATCAATTTTACTGCTGCGGCTTGGAAAAAAGTAACACCAAGAACTATTCGTAACTGTTGGAGAAAAACTGACATCCTGCCAGAAAATTTTCTTGGTGAACTATATCCTTTTGAGGAATCTGACTCGGCTAACGAACCTGACTCGGCTA